ACGCTATGGAATCTGGTGGACTAGATAGCTCAAGTAATAAAGAAGAAGGGACTGGTAAAACAGGAGAGAAAAAAGAGAGACACTGGTCTAACTCACAAGGCATACCGAATTTCATAAAATATGGAGTGGATTCAAAGAAAGTAACATCAACACAAGTAAAAAATCGATTTAAAATTGGACTGTAACATATATACTCTTTTTGCGCTCGTGCGTATCCCAAGAAAATACACTTAATAGCACAAGAATCTAATTTATCCATTCCAGGAGCAAGCTGATGAACAAAACACACACATCCAAAAATACGATGAGATAATTTAAACACAGGTTTATGAGAAAAAGAATGGAGTGAGATAATTGGCCTCCAAGGATATTAGATGGCATGCAATTAATTAAATAACATTCAGTTAGAACTGCATCACTTCAAAATTGTTTGGGCACATTCATGTGCAACAAAGGTGTTCGAGCAACTTCCATTAAATGTCCAATTTTTCTTTCAACAACTCCATTCTGTTGTGGAGTGTGAGGACAAGATAATTGATGAATAATACCAGACTTAATCATAAAGGTATTAAAAGGAGTGAAAAAATATTCTTTCGCATTATCACTGCGAAGTATACGTATAGACACACCAAATTGATTCTTTATTTCTGTAACAAATGTACAAAAAATGGAATATAGTTCTGAACGATCTTTCATTAAATAAATCCATGTAACTCTTGAAAAATCATCAACAAAGATTATAAAATATTTAAAATCTAACTTTGAAGTGGCTCGACTAGGACCCCAAATATCAGAATGAACTAACAAAAAGGGTTTAGAAACCTATTTATTGACTCTAGGAGCAAAAGAAACACAATAATGCTTTCCTAACTGATAAGACTCACGTTCTAATGAAGACAACTGACTCAAAGTAGAAACTAACTTTTTCAAATTTTGTAAAGACGGATGGCCTAAACGACAGTGAATTTCAAGAGGAGAAACAGTAGCAGGACATGCAATCGGACCATTGGAGTTGAGAAAATAAAGACCATTATGCTTATGCCCTCCACCAATCATCCTCTTTGTCTTCAAATCTTGAATGACAACAAAATCAGGAGAAAAGTAACTGAACACTGTAGAGATTTAGTGAGCTTACTAGCAGACATTAGATTAAATGGCAAATTGGGTACGTAAAGAACAGAAGACAGCGAAAAAGACGGGTTAATTTCTACAGTGTCTAGTCCTTTAACTTTAATGATAGATCCATCAGCTAAAGTAATATGAGGAAAGGAAGTAAACTCTTGAAAATTAGAAAAATTTTTAAAGGTACTTGACATATGATCAGTAGCTCCGGAGTCAATAATCCATGAGTCATTACCCTTTGTGCTAAAGAAGTAGAGGGAAGAGATGCGTGATTTGTAGTTTGGTACTATATGAATTTAACATAATCTTCGTCGAATATAGTAAAAGTCTTCTGGGACCCATGTGCTGAAGAACTTGATTCAATTTGGTCAGTGGTAACCGCATTAGCAAAACTTTCAACCATAGCGAATAGCATTTCAAAAAAAAAACAGTCAAAATTCGTGATGAGCAGTACCTTTTAACAGTCGCGTGAACAGTCCAATGAACAGTATCGCGTGAACAACACGCGATGACCAATATCGCGTGAACAAGACTTTTGCTAGATGTTTAACCCTAACCCTAAGACTTTTGCTCTGATACCATGAAAATAGGTATTTTGGAGAAAAACATGTGGTCACAGTATTATGAGTGACCAACTAGTATTTATAGGAGTACAAGCCTAACAAATTATTTACAAGAATACTCTTACTAATTTATTATCTACAAGAATACTTATATTCTCTTAACAAATATCTGCTGCAATTTCACTTGCTGTCCAAAACTTGAGATTTTGATGGCAATTGATCAGAATGTACTCTCTATCTCTCTTCCTAGAGTATTTACATGCAGAAAACACTTGTTACTTTGAAACTGAATGCAGAGGTGGTTATGGTTGTCCCGGATTCAGTGTCATTACTGAGTCTGGAGTGCTTCGCTTGCAATCCTTTGGATTGGTAGGAGTTTCTGTCCATAGGCTTATTCAGGGTTGTCCTTTGCTAGACGAATTGTACTTATTCTTCCGACTTTTAAGAACAGTGATGGAATTAATGATAAAACTTGTGATTTCTAGTCCTATGTTGAAAAAAACTTGTACTCTCCGGTATGGGAGGTAAGCTCCCTATTGGTATGAAAGCAAACATTCTGAATATTTTGAGTACAGAGATTCTGGAGATCATATTGATTATAGATGCCCCCCATTCTTAAATATTTCAACTACAGGGATCATGGTTCAAAGTAAAGGCTGTGCACTACCTCATGTTTCTTGCTAGAGCTGCAGTAGAAGTTGAGTTTCTTCATGGTGGAAGAACTGGGAAGCAACTTGTTTTCCTGTAGGCATCATGCTTTTGAGTTTGTTCATGAGTTGCAAAATGGAAATCATTTTATTTATCTCACTTGAGTCTGAAGTTTGTTTTCCTTTTCCTTTCTTCTGATACATTTCGCTTCATTTCAGAGATTTTCTTCAAGTTCAGAAAGGGACTTATCTAAGTTTTCTTCTCATTGCTGTGAAGGCTCTTTGTCCTTTTAGAAATTTATTGCCAACTTTCAACGACTTAACCATTGTGGAGCTTGGAGCTTCTGATTATAACGATGCTCTTTATGTGGCAATGTGGCAAGTCTTGTCAAGTGTACTTGAAAAAGCCCCTAATCATAAAGCGCTAATCCATAACAAGCCAGTTATGACCAACGCTATCAGAGTCAAATTCATAATTTTCTGCATTCTCTGATCTTTTCCATATGTGCAGCAGGTGTCTCTGGAGAACCTTTGTTCCGCTAGGGCATTTGATTCGGCTTTTGAAAGGCATTTCAATACACTTAGTTGTGCATCCTGGGGAGATAGGAATCAGAAAATTCAAAAGGGAGGCAGATGAACTCGAGCTAGTGGAGTAATTTTTGCAGAATGGGAAATCTTTAAAGAAGATGACACTCTTTGGGAGGATAAGGGTGTACTTTTGACGAAACCTTGTTTAGTAATGACGAATTTAGGGTGTGATTTCTTGGAAAGTTAACAAGCTTGTCTAGATTCCTTTTATTAAACTCGCATGCTTTTGCCTAATGATCATGCACTTACTTTTTAATCTTGATGAAGAGTTGATTAATCCTTAAATCAGTCTTTAAATAGATCTAATTGTGATGGTTTAAATAGATCCAAAGGCAGAAGCCTAGCAGCTTAATAACAGTTCATTTAATATGTGGGATCCTATTAGAGAATCTTTTACAGGGACTAAAGAAAACAGGAAAAACACTACCCTTACTAGTGACTGTGAATGTAGAGAAGGAAATTTTTTTTTCTGAAATCATATTTTATTTATTTATTTTTTTTTATTTGGATAAAAATGAATACAGAGATAACTTATCTGGATTGTCATGATTTTCATGATTTCATAACCATCTTTTTAGTTACAACAGAACACCTATTAGAATACAGAGAAGGGAGTACTATAGCTGCACTTGATTTTATTCTTTAGATGATCCTTTTTTCATTCTCAGAGGAATGGATAGTGGAGAGAACTTGGATGTCATGATATTTTGTTCCTGAAACTATTTAGAGGTACTGGAAGTTGAAGCTTTGCATTGTTGGTAGCCTTTTCACCTAGCAGAGATCACAAGGAAAAATACTTAATACCATGTTATCTGTATTTTCTTCACTCAGATAACAGATTCCAATTCTCAGTTCTCAGTTCTCTTTTTGCTCTATTTTTTATTCTTTTCCTTGATAGTCTTATTTCAACTATAAAAGAACTGGGGTGATACATTAACTCAATTATAATTTGCAGTACTATAAAAGAACTGGGTGATAGCAAACACTTTTGTTACATTGCGTTCAACTTTCATGTACTACTGAACAATATGTGCTATATTCTCATTGCTGTAGCCACATTTCGGATATCACAACGGTTGCTGGTGGAAACCCCTGACAAATGTATAGGGTCAAATTCACTCATTTTTCCTTAATTTTCTGGTGATGGTTGCATTAATTATGAAGAAGACGAATCTATTTTGTCAACTCTTCAAGACTCAAACCAGTTTGGATACAAAGTCTCTAATGTTTGCATGTGAACTTCCCCCTCATCAAAAGCCTGCCTTGCTAAATCCTTCCATTTTTTGCATTTGACTAATCTCTTGTCCTTTCTTCTTGTCCATTACTAGGCTTATGCATTGACTAATCACATTCTTCTAACAATTTCCATTTTCATCTGGAAGAGCTTTGATTCCCGTTTTCCAGATGTCCATTACAACTTGGCGTTTGTGCTTTGATCTGTCCATTGTGGCATTGTATGATAGGGACACCCAAACTTAAAGCCTCCAGTGTTGAATTCCATCCACAATGAGTAATAAAACACCCCATAGATTCGTGCGCTAAAACTTCCAGCTGAGGAGACCATGAGATTATTAATCCTTTATCAGATGATTCTTCGAGAAAATCTTTGCTTGTTTGATTCTGATTCTCTAACTACCCATAGGAAATAGTAATTGCTCTTTCTCAACCCATGCTAATTCTTCCATCTGCTCAGCATTAAGTTCTGGCCAAACTTCCAAATGCTACATAAACAACTGAACTGACCGACCTTTCATTAGCATGACATGCAAGCTTAGTCATTGACTTAAAAAGATTGGACGATAGTGCTTGTCATCTTCAAGCTCTTCTCTAGGTACATGGATGGGATAGCTGGTCCAATTGTCTTAACTGGTAGGATTTTGCCATCCAATCATTCACTAAGCAATATAATATAAACAATAAAATTCACATTAGAAGACAAAGAGAAGTTTTAGTTTTGAAATATTAGTTGACAATCACATGGCTTGGCATGGTCATTTAAGGACTTAGCTTTGCACTGGCTAGCCAATAATCTATTTGGCCACAATTGAGAACATTCAGTATTTTTACCTCTTCCTCCAACTTAAAATGTGTTGAAGAAAATCCAGTCAGCTTCTTTGATGTTTTCCATTTGGTCATGTACAACCAGCTGATAAATTGCTGGATATGAAGCATAATCAGAAATAAAAGAAGGCAGATCTGAAGCTAATAGTGGTGGCAAGCCAGGAATGTCCACTTCTGTCTCCTCTAGAGGAAGTTTCAAGCACCCTTTGTGAGCATGGTAATAGATGTTATTGACAGCACAAGATTGAGTGAAGAAAACAGCCCCACGTAAGCCAAGACTCTTTGCCACATCCAGACACCAAGGCAAGAATGCATCATAAACTATACAATCAACAGGACAGCCTAAATCATGAAGCTTCAAGATTAGCTCAGTAAGAGTTTCTGAGCCACATTTTCTAAACATAGCCAAGTATATTCCTGCTGCAACTCCATTTACTCCTTCGTCGTATCCATCAGAGATGGCCTCCACTGAGATAGAACCTGAGGCTTCTTGCAAGGTTTTAAACAAGAATTTGGTTGTAACAAGTGTAATTTTCGTGCCTTGATGTTGCAAACGCGTAGCAAATTGGAGCATTGGGTTTATGTGACCCTGGATGGGAAATGGCAAAATCAAGCAATGACCTCTGTAAGTTTCCATCAATTGCTCTGTATGGACTCTTTTTGAGGTATCACAACCTTTAAGAATTAAGAGTTCGTGTACTTATAGCTTGTATGAGTAGACAGAAGAATGTGTACAGACATGTGGTTGGGTGGACATGGCATCTTTTGTTGTATAAGTCCAGTTATATTCTCCATTTTGTATTTCTTTTTGCCCGAGATAATCTTTGTTGGCCGCCTAAGAACAATGTGATCTGCATTGTACATTCCAAGATCAAGATATCAATAAACAACTAGCCAATGGATCCAAGTCTTGAATAATAAATTTGTCAGTTGATAGGAGAATTTTTTACTCCAAGGTTCATATCCATAGGTCATCGACCTAGATTTTAGTATGAAAAACACAACTACAAACAGAACACAGTAAACATGATTGGAGAATCGAATGCAGCGCAGTAGGTGGTACTGTCAATAGCTATGGGACAAAGGGAAGGATGGCATAGTTTTGTCCACCCAAATCCATTGTAGATTTTTTTTCTATACAATCCAATTCAAGGTGAAAAATCCTAACCTTGGAATATTTTGTATGTAATTCGGGGGAAAGTTAAATTTGCCCTTCTGTCATATATTCGCATTTTCTTCGAAGTTCCAATGTTAAAGTCATAAAATTTTGTTTGCAACATTAGTATCCTTTTATTTTTCTTTTTCAAGAGACTCTAATTCTTACGAGAGAAAGGAAAAATAAGAAGATTTGAAAATCAAATGAAGAACCTCAAAGTCATCCAACTACGTCCTACCAACTGATTGAGTTGTGGGAATAAAAGTGTTGATCTACGATAAAAGGATGTAGATTTAGCCCCTATTTGGCTATGCCAAAGTCCTTCTGTATTTGTTGGCAGCAAGATGCTGCATACTAACCCTTAAAACCACACGTTGCATGAATGAATTTCCTAACAGCATTGTTTTGAATACTGGATCGGGCCGGCCGATTCGACTAGTCGCAAATCGGTCATAACTCTGGTTTAGTTCATTACTCAGGTTGACTGGACTTAAAGATCGATTCTTGAATTGTAGAACTGGATTGAACCGTTGAACCGGCGATTTTTTTTGTTTTTGTATATTAAATTGAATATATATATATATAAAGGTTTTTCTTAACCCTAAAGACTAATTATTAAATGCCACGTCCACTCAATTTCTTCTCATTTTTTGCCTCTTATCAAGTTTGCAACTCTATTTTCTATTTTCTTAATTTCCTCTAAACTCCAAACTTCTTTTTTTTAAGTTGTAATCTCTAAATTCCAAAAATGTGAATTAAAATTTAAGGGAAAATCGTCCAAAACGCCCCTCACATTTTGTAAAATGACTTTTTTCGTCCCTCACTTTTAAAAGTGTAATTTTATGTCCATTACATATTTACATCGATCAAATTTAATCCCTAACTAGGTTTCCGATCATTTTTTAGTCGGAATCCATCACATGCAAGGCACGTGATCATTTTTTAAGGGTAAATATATCAAATTATGTTTTAAATAATCTAATCTATAGTCCTCCACATTTTATAAAATAAATTTTTTCATCCCTCACATTTTATAAAATGATTTTTTTCATTCATCACATTTCACAAAATGAATTTCTCCATCCCTCACATTTTAAAAAATGAATTTTTCATTTCAAACAAAAAAAAATTACTAAATGGATGCACACACCCACGTCCATTTACAAACCCTTGCAAAATGAAAGGAATGGTTTAGCATTCCTCGAACATCAAGCCTATAGCTTGATAAATGCAAAAGCATGTTACTTATTTCACTTAAAATGCTCTTTCTACTTGCTTTACATACGGCTGCTATGTAGGGTTCTTTAAATGTAGGGACAAAAATTTTGAACATAATTGGTGTGCAAATCATTATGGCAAATAACTTCTAGAAAACACTAAGGAAATCAATTGACTGGTTTTCAAAAGTTTGACAATTTTTTTTTATTTTATGGAGGAAAAGGAAGACCATGAGAATCATTTTAATATGGATTAAAAAATTTACAGAATCAAATCAGATGAAATATTCATAATATATAGGTAGGCTTTTTCATTTTATGTTCTCACAGCACAAGATACATAGGAAGTGGTCTTGTATCACTCCTTCCACTAAAGTTTTTTTTTTTTTTTTTTTTACAATTACATGGCTGGTTTTTTACAAGTATTTATGTCAGAAAACTTTTCTCAAAAGCTGCCACAAATTCAAGGTTCGTGATTGTAAAGATGTGCACATTAATCGGTTCCCTTTTTCTTATCTAATAAATCTCATAAGGGAAAAAATTATTTTTTATTATTTATTTTTTTTTTCTGTTTCTCTTGCCCAATTCTCATTCAACAACAAATTAAAAAACCAAACATGCAAAACACATGTAGATTTTACATTAGACATCCCAATAGTTAGGGGAGGGGAAGACCATCTGTCAAAATACATCATATCTTTGTACTTTTTCCGCTGACGACAAACACTTACATTAATGTGAATGCGACCACATGGCCGCCGGTAACGATTATTGCATGTTGACTGCAAACGTCATTGCAATTGTGGTTTAAATCCCCCCATCATAATTGGTGTGCAAATTATTATCACAAATAACTTCTAGAATACACTTTTTAAGTGTTTGGATACACATTTGCATAGAAATTATTTGATCAAAAATTACTTATTTGCATCACAAACATATTTTTTAACATATTTTTTAATTTTTAATTTTTTTTATCTTGCATGCATTATATCGTAAAAAGTTCTAGAATAATTATTCTAAATAGTACTTGAAAAAATCTCCTATCCTATAGGGATAATTTCATAAATCTCCCCTAAGGTTCTGACAATTTCATTATCTTCCCTGAGATTTACAAATTACACAAATCTCCCCAAGGTTAAGATTCTTGTAACAAAATTAGTCCAAATCATAAAAAGTAACATAAAGAAAATACTTTAAACAGAGAAATGAAACTTTTACTTTATAAATATCCCTTATACATGTATATAAGTTGTATTAGTAAAAGAATGAAAATAATTAGAAGTTAGAAATAATTAACACACATATTTCACTATTCAAAAAGTTCACATTCAATACATTAAACAACATAAATAAACAATAAAACTACACTAATGATCACAAGATTCTGCAAAAACAGATCAGTCATATCTCTTAGTATGAGGCTTGTTATGATTTTTGTAATTTTGAATAGAAAAAAAAATTCAAATTTTGTCTTTCTTTTCTCTTTTTCTCCTTTACTTCCACAGAATTATTTTACAACTATCACAAGTTTAAGAGTTTCAAAATAAATTTTCTCATGAACAATCTTCTTTTCCCTTATATTTTTTTTACTCCTCTTCTCACATCGTATAAAACTGATTTGGTCATTATCAATCACCAAATAGTTTCATTTGGTATATCAATTGGTATTATTTTGTACTTGCAAGTCACCATTCATCATTAAAGAAATTCCCAACAGTTACTTCTGTTAATTTGTTATTAATAGTTAATTCTAATTATTCAATCATTAGATATTTGTTTCTAATAATACATAATGTCTAAGGGTATATGAGTAATTTCTCCCTATATAATGTAAGTAATTGTGTCCATAATTTTATAATGGGAGGTAAGTGTAATTTTATAAATTTCAGGGGAGGCCAGTGAAATTATCAAAAGTTTTAAGGAAGATTTCTAAAATTAGCCCAAAACTATATACAAAATACTTTAGAAGATAAACGATTATATGGCAGAAGACTTCACATTGATGTATGTGTTATGGATGGTCACATTCACATTGATGCAAGTGTTTGTGGTCCGCTAACAATTATTGATGATGTTGACTTTAAACGCACGTCGAGTCGTTGAGGTTCGTGCCGTTGCAATGAACTACATGGATCCAGATCCAGCTACAGCCTACATGTACATGGTTGATTAACGGTGTCTGGAGGGCACCATTAAGAGAATTTCATATACTAAATTTTGGTAAAAAATAAATAAATTTGAAAAAAAAATATCCAAATGTAGCAAGTGCAATGAATGCCGGTGTGTGTATGGTATAATTTAGGTATATTAACCAATACTTTAAAAAAATTTATGATTAAGATTACATGTCTCAAATTTGGAAGTTAGTTTCTTAAATCTAGTGAACGTAAATGGTTAGAAATTTCAATGGAAGTTTCTAAAATTATTCCAAGATTATAAGTCAAAATACTTTAGAAAATAAAAGATTATATGTCAAAAGACTGGTCACATTCACATTGATGTATGTGTTATGTATGGTCACATTCGCATAGATGCAAGTGTCTGTGGTCCGCTAACAACTATTGCTGATGTTGACTGCAAACGCACTTCGTCCCGTTGCAATGAACTATAGGGATCCAGCTACATGTACATGGTTGATTAATAGTGTCCGGAGGGCACCACTACGAGAATTTCATATATTAATTTTTCGTAAAATTTAAATGAATTGGAGAAAAATATCCAAATGTAGCCGGTGCAATGGATGCGGGTGTGTGTATTAATATAATAAGTTTGGTATAATTTAGGTATATTAAATAATACTTTAGAAAAATTTATGATTAAGAATACATGTTTAAGAATTGGTTCTAATTGTCCACTGAAATATATATCTAATATGACCCCAAATTTGGAAGTTAGTTTCTTAGATCTAGTGAATGTATTTGGAGGGAGAGGTGAATTCGTGAAAATTTATTTGTGCCACAGCCAAGTATATTTCTGCTACAACTCCATCTACTCCGTCGGCATATCCATCAGAGATGTACTCCATTGAGATAGAATTTGAGACTTCTTGCTCGGTTTTAAACAAGAATTTGGTTGTAACGAGTGTAATTTTGGTGTCTTCATGTTGCAAAAGCTTAGTAAATTGGAGCACTAAGTTTATGTGGCCTTGGATGGAATGGGACAATATCAATCAATGAGCTCTGTAAGTAGGGGTGCTGAAAAAGTATCAAAAAGTCAGATAATCGAGAAAACTAAATTGATCCAAATCGAAAGATAGAGTAA